AGTATAAATATTACTCATAATATTCATACCTATGTGAAGACTTGATAACTCTTTATCCGTGATACATGAGGTGTGATCATTTGTCTATCCACATAATAGTCTCAATACTTTAATGTTATCCCATTTTATAATAAAGCTCTACTATGAATACTTTAAGAATATTGTCCTTAAGTTTAATAGGATCTCACGATTAATTCAAACTTAATGTTTCATTAAACGGACTAGCATTATATGGACATTATTATTTTGGAAAAGCAAACAATATAAAGACATGCCTTTTAATTATTAATAAATAATTTGATACAAGTGTCAAGTTCTAATAAAACTAGTGGCCTCTTGGGCTTACACCAACAATCTCCAACTAGCACTAGATCCTATCAGGCATACACCTAATACCCATATATCTAGTATAACCATCATACGTTTACTATGCAAGTGGCTTTGTCAGTGGGTCAGCAACATTGTCAAGTGTTGGTATTGTACATATCTTCACATATCCTTTATTTACTATCTCCTAAGTGAGGTGATATCACCTAAGTATGTGTTTTGATCATCGGTGAGATCTAGGCTCCTTAGCTTATGCGGTCGTACCATTATCATTACAATAGAGATCACTGTGATCCACAATACTATGGAATATGACAAGTTCACTAATGAACTTATTAATCCAAACATCTTCCTTTTCTACATTTGAAGAAACAATATACCCAGCCTCAATTGTAGAATCAACAAATGTATCATGCTTTTAACTTTTTCAACTTACAACACCACCATTTAAGCAAAACATGTAACTAGATTGGGGTCTAAAATCATCTTTATTTGTTTGGAAGCTAACATATGTGTATACAATTACAACAAGATCTTCCTAACATTAATATATTAAGAACGAGTCCTTAGTCTTTCTCAAGTACTTAAGGATTTTCTTGACAACAACCCAATGAGCATAACCAGGATCACATTGGAACCTACTCGTTGCCCTTAATGCATACGAGACACCTGGTCGAGTACATGACATAACATACATGATAGATCATATTGCAAATGCATATTGAATCTTATTCATGTGATCCCTTTCTTACTTAGTTAAAGGGGATTATGTTTTTGATAGGCACAAGCCATATTGCGTAGGTATGAATCCTTTCTTGGAATTATGCTAATTAAAGCGTCTCAACACTTTGTCTTTGTATGTACTATGACTTAGAAAAGGAAGTTTTTATGATCTATCTCTATAGATCCCGATTTTTAATATATAGGCAAGTTCACCCAGGTCCTTCATAGAAAAACATTTCCCTAGCCAAGTTTTCACCTATTTCAAGGTAGGGACATCATTTTCAATGAGTAATATGTCATCTACATAAAATATCATGAAGACGATCATGCTCCCACTAACATTCTTGTAGACACAAGGCTCATCTTTATTTTTAATGAATTCATATTGTTTTAGTGTTTCTTCAAAATGAAGATTCAAACTTATGGAAGCTTGATTTAATCCATAGATTGATCGTTGTAACTTGCATATCTTTTGGGCTTCTTCTTGCATGTGAAGTCCTTCAGGTTGTATCATGCTCACATCCTCAAGAAGATTCTTATTAAGTCTTGGCATCCATTTGCCATATTTCATAATCATGATATGCAGCGATAACAAGTAAAGTCCAAATAGATTTAAGCATTAAAATTGGTGAAAAGGTTTCATCCTAGTCTAACCCATGAATTTTCTTATAGCCTTTGGATACCAGTCTTGCCTTATAGGTATGTATTTTACCATACATGTCAGTCTTCTTTTTGAAGACCCACTTGCATCATATAAGATTAACTCTTACAAGAGGCTCTACTAAGGTCAATACCTAGTTTATGTACATGGAATCCATTTTAGATTTCAATCTTCTAGCCACTTCTAAAATTCAAAACCAATGATAAACTATGGGTAGGTTACATGCTCACCTTGATCCATGAATACATCACCTTGATCAGTTACTAGATAACCACATCTCTTAGGTTGGTGATGTATCATATTTGACCTACACTGGTTTTAATTTACTTAAGCTTGTTTTTGTTCCACAATTTCTTGTGTTTCATTCTCTAGTTTTTCCATAGGTGTATCAATTCTTTGTTATTCTTGAATTTTTTTGAGCTTTACTTTTCTCTCACTGATTTCTTTGGAAATAAAGTATTTTTAAGGAATACTCCAGTTCGAGTGACATACATGTTTCCCTCAGAAGGATTGTAGAAGTAAATACCCTATTATTTCTTTATGATACACCACAAATAAGCATTTTTAATATTTTGGCTCAAGCATAGTTGAAAATTTTTTTTCACATAAACTTTGCAACCCCAAATCTTCATGTAAGAAATATGTGGTTTCTTACACTCTATATCTCATATGGTGTATTCTCAACCTTTTTGGATGGAACACAGTTAAGTGTGTAAGATGTTGTCAATAGAGCATGTCCTGAAATGAAGTTTGGAATATCAATGTGACTCATCATGGATTGAACTATGTTTAACAAGGTTTAGTTTCTTCTCTCGGATACACAATTCAATTATGGTATTCTAAGAGGAGTTAGTTTGGATAGAATTCCACAATCTTTTAGATTGTCATCAAAATCTAATCTTAAATGTTCACCACCTCAATCTGATCGAATGGTTTTAATATTCTCACCTAGTTGGTTTTGCACTTCAGTTTTTGGTCTAACAACTTCCGTGCCTTTCTTCTTACTACCCTAATTGGCAAGCCTGTTGCTCTGCTTCTTTCCATTATTTACCATCAGAATGGTCTTCCCTTTTGACTTCATATTCTACTCATTATTTCTCAATATACCTAGTATTTATGAAAAACTTTTGTCCATATCATTCATATTGAAATTAAGGACAAACTGGCTAAAACTCTCCGACAACGGTTGCAGGATCAAATCAATTGCAAGCTCTTTTCTGAGGGGAAAACCCAACCTCTCAAGGTTGTCAACTTTCTCAATCATCTTGAGTATATGAGGACATACAAGGGCTCCATCAACTAGCTTTTCTTGAAAAAGGACTTTGGAAATTTCAAACCTCTCATGTCTTGCCTGCTCTTGATAGAGCCTCTTTAGGTGTTCGATCATATTGAATGTTGTTGTGTTCTCATGTTTCTTTTTCAAATTAGAGTTCATGATAGTCAACATGAGGCAAGAAGATTCATTGGCATCATTGACATGCTTCTTATAAGCATCTCTTTCAGCCTGAGGATCATAACTAAAAGGCTCTTCTTCAGAAGAGGTGTCTCTAATACATACAACTTTTTATCGTGTTTGAGGATAATCCTCATGTTTTAGTGCCAATCCATCAAATTTGTCCTAGACAACTTTTCTTTGTCAAGGATTGATCGTAAAATATTGTTTCAAGTATTTTTTGACATGGTAATCTACATATAAATAACGTTATTACCAATTGGATATTACATTTATCTCATCACACTTACTAATATAGATCATGTACATCGCGTTAGGAAAAACCTACATTATTCGATACTAGTCTTGATAAGTGCTAAAATTTGGAAACCATGAACTTTATATTTATTTTAAGGGGATTTATAATTAGTTTGGTCTTACCGGGTTATTTATCAGATAAATCGTCTTTCACATGCATCAACATATATTCAAATATATCAACATCCATAAACAAAGTGAAACAATTATGATCCCTAGCGCAGTTTCTCCCTCAAACCAATTAGAGAACCTAAGCTAAGGCTAATAATGACCTATGCATCTCCAAGCTAGATCTCCATGATTGTCCTCCTTTAATCCTGTATTTTTCTTTATGTCATTACATTACATCAAATGATACTCGTTTTACATATGAAGGAGTGAGATTGGAAAAATAAGTTACATAAAGAGAGTATAGAGAAAGGCACGACACGCAAGTCGTACTTAAAATTTAAAATCTTTTTTTCTCTCTCCCTCTCTCTCACACACACACACACACACACACTGTCATACCCCAAATTTGTCCTACCTATATATAATTTTCATCTGTACTTCCATCTGCTAACCATTATTTAGAAAACCCAAAAAAACCATGTTGAGGATGAATTGAATCAAAGAAAGTTTCATTCGAGGTTCATCAAGTCAAGAATAAGTATGTATTGAAGTTCACTTATTAGTTTTGACCTAATCTCGGTCAAGCATAGTTTTGTTTTATGATCAAGGTTTGGGTTTTATTGATCCAAGAGGTGTGGATTCGAGCATTTGATAAGAGTTAGTGCCGATTCAAGTCAGTTGGTGTTTTGTTTAGGTTATCAGGGCGTGATAGGACAAATGCTTCATGATTACAAATTATCAAAAATCCGGTTCATTCCAATTGGGGCTTGGTGCTGGTTCTAGATTAGTTCATCGAGTTCTAAGTCATTTGTCGATCCTGCCAAGTTTGTTGATCAAATCAAATTCATGTGGTGGAATTAAATTACAAAATATCAAGTTTTGGTTTGTTTGGCCTCGTGGTTGAAAGTCGATGCAAAATTTCTATTTCTCAAGGTCCCATTATTATTCGATGTTCAGAGAAGAATTCAGAATGTCGTGACCTAGTCAAAAATCATACTCTAGTTCATGGTGGTCTCATCTTTCAAATTTCATATCAATCTAGGGTTCAATTCAAGATTCAAATTCGAGGTCCAAACTTCCAATCCATAAATTTGTGAGTTCACTTCATATCAAGATTACGAGTTTTATTCAAGTTGCAATTCATGACCAATTTCTAAATTTCACTCAAAAAATCAAATTCCAAGTTCATCACAAATTTATAAATTTCAAAGTCCAATGTTCAATCCATAATCCATGTTCATAAAATCCATTTACATTCATTACAAGTCCATTTGCATAATTTCTATACAAAAAAGTCAAGCTCATGAAAATACAAAATCTCATTACTATAGTGCATCATACAAGTCCATTTACACCAAAGAAAAAAATGCTAAAAAAAATTAGTTCTTGGACCTAAACCTAAAGCCCATTACAAAGGTCCTACAAAAATCAGACAAAAAAAAGGAAAATCAAAAGCTTCATAATGCCATCCGAACTACAGAGGCAGAGGATATGAAAATTTGACAACCACTTGAAGAGCTTCACGCCAAGCTTCTCCACAGTCCATACTTCCAACCAAACCTCTTTTTCATCTGCAACAACAACTTGCAGCGCAATAATACCATATACCCCAAAATTTGTATCCCACAAACAATAAATTGCCTCACGCCTATAGCACCTCAGCAAAAGAAGTGTCCCCTGCAAGAAAAGACAACACAACGCAACGAATGCGGAGCTCACCACCAACCAACGGAAAATCTCTCCATTTAACCCAAGTCACAACAAAACCCACAGACACGCGCAAATCGACAACCTTTACATGCTGGACAATGTTCATAATCAGCACACCCATCAATTTCCTAGAACACGTATCAAACCCAACCTTTCCTCAACTAGTACGAAAAAATTCACCCCTTTGCAAAATGACCCGTACGACAAAACCAACCGCACCGAAACTCCGTACCAGCCTGCCTGCTACAAACCTGCACATGATTTCCACACCACAACAAGGCAAATCACGGACAAAAAAAAAAGAGATTTCACAATAAATCTGGGGACCACACAACTTTTACACAATAATATCATCAGCCTTGTTACGATTCATGGTTTTCCACCATAAAACTTCATACTCAACCTTGAACAACAAAAAACGACAACTCTTTTTTTAGAAGCTTCACAGATAGTACACAAAACCAAGTCACGAAAATCTTCAACGAAACTCTTGTTTCTTCACTAACAGACCTTTGTTCAAAACCTTCGATTCCTCCAATTTTCTCCAAAAAACATTCTTCATTAAACCTCCTTCCGAAAACCTTCAACATCAAAAGCTTCATAACAAATACCTCACTCCATCAAATCGACTCTAGAAACCTTCATCTTCTTCACCCAAATTCTCTCCCCCTTCAATGATCTTTCTTTTTTTTTGACAAAACACCAATACAACAACTCAGAACCAAACCCATAAATTGAAATAGAAGAAAAGAAGGAGTAGAAAAGAGATTGCAAACCCGAAGCACATCGAATCAAAATGAGATGAAGAAGAGGTTCAAACCTGAAACCATGAAGTCAAACCATGAAGTCAAACGCACCAAGACAATGCTAAACCGAAGCGGAATCCCAAACGAGTGAGACGAAGAAAATGGAGATTGAAGCGGGATCAAAATCAAAGTGGATTGAAGCCTAAAAACTGAGATGGAATCGCGAAGAGAAAGTTTGGGTTATGCTGATGATAGTGTTCTTCAAATTACCTTGTTGTGAGCGTGATGGTATTGAATACTGATGCTAGCCACCCATTTTCCTTCGATTGTAACCCGTGTTTACCTACTGGCTTGTTTAATTCTTTTTTGGAGTGGATGCGCTGTTAAGACCAACATAGCCAGGTTCTCTTTGCTTGGACCGTGTAGGAATTTGGGGAGTCTGGGCCTCTCTTTTTTTTTCCTGTTGATCGTGTGATGAATGGCTAAAAGCCCATAATGATTTACACATGTGGTTGAATTTGCTGCACCATTTCTTTTATTTTATCACTAAATGTTTTTTTTATTTTGGACTTTAATCTTGATTTATTACAACATTGTAATTAAGTTTTGGTTAGTTTTATTTTTGATTAATTTAATTTTAATCATATTTTTGTTAATATTGAGTTGAATTTCTATTCTTGTTAATCTTTTAGAACTTAATTATTTGTGATAAGCTTTTGATAGGCTTTTGTTCAGTTTCGTTGATTTTGTTTAATTCTGACATTTATTTTTGATTAATTTCTTAATGACACTTTTGATTAGTCTTTGGGTTATTTTGATTAGAAATTCTCGAAACTTTTGATTAAAATGTTCTTTGATTAGAAGTTTTGGTTAAATCTTGACGCATCCTTGTCGATACTCTCTTGTGACCTTGATACTGGATATTTGATATTTCTTCTTAAGCTTTTAGCGTGCATTGAAGAGGCAACGAACCTTCCCCATTAGGTATCACTTGAATCTTAAGGTTATCTCTCTTTCATGCCTCATTCTAAGATCTTATTGACGCATACTAAGTACGTCTGAGATCCTATCTTGAGGTAGGATCTGTTTGCGCATCATGGTACTTAGATGGTTACCTTAAAGCTAAGGAACTAGGTCGATGCTTTGAATATTTTTTGTGTTAAGCTTGAGAACATGTTGATGTTGAAGCATGCTTAGGGTTTAGCATCTTAGCTCATAACTTGTTGTTGATTGAGGAGTCTTCACTCCTATGTTATATATTTGCCTTGTGTGCCAACTCAATTGATACTTAGGTTTCATTTGCTACCATTTCATCATACTTTGTGGTGAGTGAAGAGTCACTCAGTCTCGCTTTTTTACTGAGATCATGACATCGCTCATTTTGGTTAAGAACGAAGAGTCACTGCGTTTTGTTCCTTAGCTGAGATCACAACATCGTTATGTTGATGATTGTTTAATGTAATGTTTATTTGTATGTACTCACTTGATCTTTCAGGATTCCTAACTCGATTTAATTTCTAACTAAGCTCAAAGTAGGCGAGACATTAGGTTTTCAATCCTTTGCGTGGCAACATTAGGAGTTGGTTCCCCCTATTTATTTTTCTTTCCCACCTTTTTTCGTTTACCTCATACCTTTTCCCGTAGTTTCTATGAACTATGATGCTCTGACTTTCCCCTTACACGAGGGAGTACGTAGGCACAAGGGCCGCAATCTTTGGCGAGCACTCTAATAAAAAAAACCATTCATTTTTCCCTTAGAAGCGAATCTTCAAAAGAAAATAAACAAGCGTAGCTAACTTTTCTCTCAAATCGAATCAAGAGGTTCCCGTTGAGTACAATAGACGTAGAGGGTGCTAAATACCTTCCCTTTGTGTAATCGACTCTCGAACCTAGAATTTGGTTGCGATGACCATGTTCTTATCTCTTTAAAGGTTTTATCGATATTTTCTTATTCCTTATTTGGGATGAACAAAGTTTGATGGCGACTCTGTTCGAATGTTTTTTTCGCGTCCATCGCGAGGATCATATTTTTCAAGGTACGAAACACACAAACACACAACACACAAAGAATATTTCAAGAATAATGGTTAGGAACACTTGTGAATATGAAAAATTAAAATGAAAATTAACTAACTAGCTTTTTGAATATCAATAGTTATAGTTTATCACTGTAATTTAAAAATTAAAAACATAAGAAATTTGTAGGAAGAAAGAAGTTGTGAAATCAATAGAATGAAAGAGAAAACAAAAAATGTGTGAAGTTTGTTTTTAAAAAAAATATACAGTACCACTCATCAATTTTTTGTGTGTTGAGCTCACACCATGTATTACTGATTTGATTTCTTAATATATCTATAGATAGTGATATCTATGAAAGAAAGAGATCAAAATAATTTATATTCTTAGAGTTATGAAAGAAAGAGATGAAAGTATTTATGAAATCAACCTATACATTGGAGAAAGTAATAGACAAAAATATAGATTTGCATGTTTAAACATCATAATATAACAAACACTCAATTTCATAATCATTAACGGACATATATAACAAACACCCTTGAAACATTTTTAAGAAAGTTAGTTAGTAAAAACTTATTTAGACTAAAAGTATAAAAGTATTCAAAGAAGAAATATTACAAATTTGAAAAAGTGGGAACAATATGAGTGACAATATGGAATAACAAAGTAAGAATTTTGATTGAAATGGTTCCACGAGGTATGGATTGAAGATTATCGTAGAAACAAAATATCCCAAGACATGTAAGATAGAATTTGTAATTAAGAGAGTTGCATAAAATACTAGTAGAGTTTAACCATAACATTAAGAAAATCCTTACGATCACCTAGCCTTAGAAAAAAATCTAACAAAATTGATGTTAAAAAATTAAAACCAAAAGAACTCCATCTCAAATCTCAATAATTTTTATATAAGCAAATCTCCATAAATTTCACATACGCAACTAACAAAACACAATACTTAAAATAATTAGTTTCTACAAAAGTAAGAAAAAGATACAAAATAATAAGTAAGAAAATATAACAACGCATCTAGATCTTTAATGGCTCTAATAATTAAAAGGCATTTCTTTATTATGTTTACTTTTCTAAGATAATAAAGTCCCTGTAATGCTAGTTCATTTAATGAAACATTAAGTTTGAATTAATCATGAGATCCTATTAAACACAAGACTTGATAACTCTTTATCCATGATCCATGAGGTGTGATCATCCGTCTAAATATTATTCCTAATATTCATACATATGTGAACACTTGAAAACTCTTTATCCATGATCGATGAGGTGTGATCATCAGTCTAGCCACATAATAGTCTCAATGTTTTAATGTTATCCCAGTTCACAATAAAGCTCGACTACAAATATTTTATTAATAGTGTCCTTATGTTTAATGGGATCTCATGATTAAGTCACAATTAATGTTTCATTAAACGGACTACCTATTCTAGGGACTTTATTATTTTGGAAAGTCAAACATAATAAAGGAATGTATTTTAATTATTAATAAATAATTTGATACAAGTACCATGTTCTAATAAAATTATTGACCTTTAGGCTTACATCTATCGATTGGATTGTTACGTTACTTGTGTAATAAGAGACCGAATTTAGTTTTTAGTGTCAAAATTGTGAGCAAATTTATGGAGAGACCGAAGGTGTCTCACTTAGCAGCAGTCTAGAGGATTCTAAGATACTTAAAAGGTTCTACTAGTTGCATATTTTTTTCCCACAACGAACAAGGGCAGAAAGTGAAATTTACTATGATATACCAATTTCAATCGACGATGAGGTAAAAATGACAAAAATTCAAAACTAGACACATATTTATGTTCATAGAAACACCAATCCCACGATGTTTGAAAAAGGAATCGGTAGTAGCACTATCTTCTTATGAGGCAAAGTATATTGTAGTTTCGTTGTGTGAGCGCCAAGCCGTATGGTTGATGAATTTGTTGAAGGAGTTATGCAGTAAAGAGGGTGACGTTATAACCCTCATGGTTGATAACGTCTCCACTATAAATTTTTCTAAGAATTCTATTGCACATGGGAGAAGCAAGCATATTGACACGAGGTTTCACTACTCGAGAGAGCTTATTAGTGAAGGAATATTGATGTTTAGATATTGTAGAAGTGAAGACTAAGTAGCCGATTTGTTTTGCAAATTATGGTCGATTGAATCATTCAAAATATTAAAGAATCATATGGGAATTGAAAACTTGGAGCACATGAATTAAGCTGTTGTGTTAAGTGAAAAAGAGTAATTCACGTGCCTATAACTAGTTATTGTGGGGGTGTAACCGGTTACACCCCTTTGGAGAAAACAAACAGATATTTGCTGAAACCAGTTACAGGATATATG